TGGCCAGCTCAGCCCACCAGGGGGCGGGGCGGGCTGGCATGTGGTGCTGGGGGATTGAACCGTGGTCCCTGTGGTTTGCTAAGCTTGTTCCAAGTAGGTGCTTTAGACCACTGAGCCATCTCACCAGCCCCTCCATTTTTAAATTGGATTATATATCTATTTATCGAGTTAGGAAAGTTTTTTATATATTCTAGATACATGTTCCTCCCTGACGTGATAAATGATTTGTAAAACTTTTCTCTCATTCTGTGGGGTTTTGTTTGATACTGTCCTTGGCAGCACAAAAAAATAGATGGCCTTTAATTTTGATTATGTCAGATTTTTCCTTTGCTTTTTCATTTTATTGTTCTTTAAGAATGCTTTGCAAAACACCAAGCTGCTTGCATAACACCAAACTGTGAAGATTTATGCCAACCCTTTCTTCTCAGATTTTTTTATTATTAATTTTGAGAAATAGCAATGGGACACTTTCAAAACAGGTTACCAGGACAGTAACAATAATTAATACATTGCATATTGTTGTCTTCATAGTAGTTATTCAGAGTACAGGATGCAGATTCTCAGATTTTTATAGTATTACACAGGTGTAAGACTTAGTCATTAAGTTCATATTTAATTTTTATATTTGGTATGAGGTAGGGGTTAAATTTCATTATTTATATGTAGAAATTCATGTTTCTAAACACTATATGATCAAAAAATTATTTTCTCTTACTGAATTTTCTTAGCACCTTTTTAGAAAAACAATCATAAATATGATTATTTCTGGACTCAATTATATTACTATTCTATTCTTTTTAATGCTATTAATAATTTTCTGAATATCATTTGTAGTTATTTTATAGAAGAACAATTGTGTTACTTTTGTCATTTAATAACTTTGCTGAGTTATTAATTTTAATGTTGTTTTGAATATGCCTTTGGATTTTTCTGTAGATGGCCTTTAGGGTTGGCCAAATAGCTCAGTGGATTAAAGCACCTGGTTAGGCAGACACAGTGGCCAGGGTTTGATCCCAGGTATGCTGTGCTGGCCCTGCGCCCGGGATGCGCTGAGACTGTGATTGAGGCTGGGTGTGGTGAGGTGCGTCTGTAATCCCAGCTTTTGGGAGGCTGAAAACAGGAGAATCACTGAGTCCGATCTCCGTAGTGAGACTCTGTAAGTCTTGTACTAAAATTTAAAAAAAAAAAAAAAATAGTACATGGCCTTTAGATCATCGTGCCTAAGATCATATTATCTGCAAAGACTTTTGTTTCTGCCTTTCCAGTCTAGACGACTTTTTTTTTAAATTTATTTATTTATGTGTGTGTGTGTGTGTGTGTGTGTGGCCAGCTCAGCCCACCAGGGGGCAGGGCTGGCTGGCATGTGGTGCTGGGGGATTGAACTGTGGTCCCTGTGCTTTGCTTAAGCTTAGCTTGTTCTAAGTGGGTGCTTTAGACCACTGAGCCATCTCACCAGCCCTCTAGACGACTTTCATTTTCTTGGCTCGCTGTCCTGGTTCAACCCTAGTAACAAGAACACACAGCTCTGTCTTGTTTCTAATGTTAGGGGAAGTAATTCAGTCTTTTGCCAATAAGTGATATAATTTGCGCACTTTTCATAGATGTCTTCTATTGGGTTGAAGAAGTTACCTTCTGTTCCGAGTTTGCTGAGTATTTTCATCACCAAGGGATGCTGGGTTTTGTTTAATTCTTTTCCTGCACCTAATGAAGGGTTCATGCAGATTCTGATTTCATCTCATCTGTGTCCTTTTCTAAACATTCAAGAAAAGTTTTCTAAAAAGTCACTTACTAAATGCATTCTAGCTTTTATTTTATGTTTTGGTGGTACCAGGGATCAAACTCATCATAACTTTTTAAAAAGTAAAAAATAGTATTTTTGCAAAAGTTTACAGATAAAATTAATTAATTTGAAAACTAGTAAAATACAACTACATGAGGTATTTGTTTCTGACCAAACATTAAAATTTCATTTGTTGACTGCAGGAAAATATACTCTTGTAAGAGCTACAAAAATTAATGAACAGTAGGATCATTATCATTTCTACAAACACGCGGAAAAATACATGATAGATTATTAAAGTTGTTAATTATTGGCAACTCTTTTGCCAAATGTGTTCATTTTAAAACACCACTGTACTGACTGTATCAAAATGTATCATGTCTTATACACTTTATAAAATAGCATATTAACAAGCTTGTTTGTCACACAACTGCTGAGAACTCTGTTGCCTGGGAAGATAAGGCAAAAGAAAAACAAACAAACAAACAAATGAATTCCCAATTATAATTTAATTGTGCTCTGTGTAGTAAACAGAATGCCTTCTTCTTTAATTCTCTCCAATATTGGACCATAGATCTCTTTGGAAAAAGGGCCAATCAGGCCTTTGGCTTCAATTTCACCTGGAAAAAAAGAAATATGTGATTACCATTTTAAATGTGGTCATAAAGGTTTGTTTTCCTAGCAAGAACCTGTCCAAAGAAAGGCTCACCTAGCAGCAAACACAGAAGCAATGGATTGCTGGAGGGCTGGCATATACTTCAATAGCTGCTTCAATGCTCTCTACCACATGACTACTTAGTGCTCTGAATGGAAAAGGGTTAACTTGGGCTTCAAAGTACCACTGACTTAAGGACAATGAGAAAATGTGTACCTTTAACTGCATCAGTTCTACCAGAAGAAAATGAATGCAATGATTGCTTAGAAATTGACACCTCTTAGGATGGCTTAAGAGTTGTGTCCGGGTACTTTCTTTAAGGAGTGTGCAGACTCTTTCTTCACCCTGATTCCCCAAAACCTTGGTGGGCAGCTTAATTTCACAGTGTTTAATGTGCTTTCTCACTGTTTCATTTGCATGCTGTGGTGTTTTCACCCCCTTCATTCACCAGGGCCATGTGAAGTAGTATTTTCATAGATAATGCTTATTAAATTTATACAATTATATTGAATAAATTCAATTGAATTTATACATATGTACCCTAATGTAATCACCAGTCAAAATAATAGAAAAGCAGTATTCCCTCAATATAAATTGTACTTAGAGTTTTGCCCTTTCCCCAGCTATTAATGAGCCATCTGATACTCTCTCACCATGCTGGCCAACAGCAGCACTACGTGGTAGCTCCCAGTCGGCGAGGAGACCAAGAGAATGAACAACCTATGTTCTATGTCAAGTTTGTCCAGCCCGTAGCCTGCAGGACACATGCAGCCTGGACAGCTGGCAGTGCCACCCATTAACGTCAGCTTCACCTTATGTTGTGACTTTTTCACCTTCAGTTTTCATGACTCCATCACAAGATGCTAGGGTGGAACTGTGTAGGCAGCAAGGAAGCACCGTTTAGGAGAGGGGACAGGGTGGTGCTAACTCTGTGTGACCACAGGGACTAAAACACAACAACTACTGCTCAAGCACTTTAACCTGCCTCCAGCTATGTGCCTCTGAAGGAAGGACTTTACTGCTGTATGCAGACCTGTAAGTTTTCTGATTTAATTACTAAACTTGGGCTTTTGTTTCAAAAGCTTTAATATTTTTGTTATGTTGTTTTGTTTTGTTGTATGAATACAGGGTCTATAGGGTCTCACTACACAGATGGGACTCGTAGTGATTCTGCTATCTTAAGCTTCCCAAGTGCTGGGATGACAGGTGCGTGCCACCATGCCCAGTCTCAATCACCATCTCAGCATGCCCTGGGGTGGGGCTGGCACAGCACATGGGGGATCGAACCTTGGTCCCTGTGTCAGCCAAAGCAAGCTCTTTAATATGCTGAGATATTTGGCCAGTCCAATAAAAATATTTAAAAATAAATGAGGTTTTGTTACTCACCTACATTAATTGTATCCTGTACTTTCTATGTGTCCACTTTCTCCATGAGGCCTGTGCCAGCCAAATGCTTTTTTTGTTTGTTTGTATTTTTTTTTAGGGAAGGGCCTACAGGGTGTTCAAGGTCTAACTACTAGATCAGACTAGTAGTGACCTGCCTGTTTACAGCCTCCCAAATGCTGGGATTACAGGTGTGTGCCACCACACCGTCCCAATTGTCATCTTAGTGGGCCCCAGGGTAGGTCCGGCACAGCAGGCCCAGAGATCGAACCCCCGGCCCCTGAGCCTTCTTGCAGGTGTTTTAATCTGCTGAGCTATTTGGCCAGCCCCAGCCAAACATTTAGACAGCATGGTGTGTAGGCTGCCATGTTGCTGAGTATGATGCTCAGTGGGTTAGGTATATTGGATGTATTGTCAACTTAAGATAATTTTAATGTACGATGGACTAATTGGGATATAACTCCATTGTATATAGAGGAGCATTTGTAATCAGAAGCATTTATTTGCTGAAATATCAAAACAAGACATGATCCATATTGTTAAGTAAATATTCTTGGCTATTTCAGAGTGACTCCCCCAAAATAATAAAAAGCAAGGCAGGAAAGAATGGAGTTAACATTCCCCAATGCACCTGTATGTGGACACGTAGCAGCTTCACATTCAATTTCATGGAAGTATCACAATGAAACACTAGGAGTTAGGGGTGACGATACCCACTTCCTCAAGATGAGGAAGCCGGCTGATAGGGCCCTTCCCTACCATCACCACTCCGCTCTCCTGTGACTGCACTAGGTGGAAATCAGATCGAACTCTGCTCAGTAGGGCTATCTTCGGGTCAGGCAACTTCAAGAATGGCTTTTTAATTAGTGTCAGTGTTTTTCTTAAGACTCATTACTTGGTATCCCGGCATTGGATGGCCTGAAGTGTAGACATGGGACAGACTCGAGCCCCGAGGGAAGAGCACTTACCGTCAAGCAACATTTTGGCTGCCATGGCTGTGGGCAGCCCCACAGTTTTTGCCATTGCTGAAAAGCCATTGAAGTCCCCATAAACCACAAGATCGATGGTCTTATTTTCTAAATGTCCAGAAGGATGTCTGATACCAAAGCTGTCTCTCATCACAATCATGTCTTTTTCCTTAGGGCCTGAAAATTAAAAAAAAAAAAAAAAAAAAAAAGATTTTTAAATGCCACTATTATAACTCAGATACTGCAATTCATCTCTCACTCCTCTCTCTCTCTGCTCTCACAAATTTCCCTTCACAGTACATGTGGTCACCAGCTATCTGTCTACACTGCTTTTAAGTCAAATACCAAGTGAAAAGAGTTAATGGAATTAAAAGTTTGGTTGCATCTCTTTGTCTAGGGCAGTATCAGTAAAGTCCTACTATGGTCATAAGGTCACAGCCGCAGAGGTCACACACTTGCTCCCAGAAAGGTGCCTTTGGCATGTCTCTAGTAAGGTGAAAGCAAAACTAACAGTGTGTTTCTTTTCCACATACTCAAGTTCATTCCCTCACCCAACTCCCACTCCTAGTACTGGAAATTGAACCCAAGGCCTCCTGCGTGCGAGACTATCCCCCCATGCTGAGTTAACAGGCCCTGCCCTTTATAGGTATATATTGAGATAGTCTTGCTAAATTGCCCAGGCTGGCTCTGAATTCCGAATCCTCCTGCCTCGTCCTCCCAAACAGCTAGGATCACAGGTGTGTGCCCCTTCCCTTGGCCCCAAATTCTTTCTTAGTAAGTCTCATTTTCCCTCTGGTCATACTGACTCCATCTGATGACCCCACAGCCTACCATAGGAGAGCTTCAAGGCCAGGTGCTTGGAAAGAGCATCCATGACAGACTCCGCTGGTGGGACCCGTTCATCTCCAAGCAAGCCCAACCTGGGGAGCACAGAGGTGGCTGCGTTAGTGTGCCCTGTGCGTGCTCGCACTGGGGAAGCAGCCAGGGGCTCGTGGCAGGGTCTCTTTGTAAAAGTTTTATCTTTATTAGTACATGTTTCCTAATGATTACATTATTGTAATCATTACTGAGATTCCATCTTACTCCAGAAAGAAAAGCCATCATCGAGAAATCTGGTAATATCAAATACTAGAGAGGCCTCTAGGAAAAAGGATCCCTTCCACATTGCTGGTGGGAATGTAAACTAGTACAGCCAGTATGTAAATCTGTACAAATAGTCCTCAAAAACTGAAAAACTAGAAATTGCATTTGACCCAGATCTCACCTTTCTAGGTCACCCTCCCAAAGCGTGAGGGGTATCATAGCAGCACATGCACACCCATGTTCATAGCGGTACAACTCATAATAGCTAAATGCTGGAAGCAGTCTATATGTCCACCAATAGATACATCAGAAAAGAAAATGTGCTCTTCATACACATCGGAATACTAGTCTCTCATAAAGAGGGATAAATTTGAGTCATGCTTAGGAAATGGATCCATCTTGGATCTGTAATGTAATGGACTGTAATGTGGAATGAAATAAATCAGGAACATAAGCTTAAATGATGCATATATTACCATATATGAGAAACTCAGAGGATAAGTAAACTAAAGGCTAAAATAAAAGACAGTTAATAGGAAAGAGGGAGGAAGTGGAAAGGCTGAGGAATGGAAAAAAATGATAAAAGAATTAAAATATGTAGAATTCTATCTTGAAATGGCAAATATCATAACATAATTGCCTGAGCTCTAAGAATATACCAAATTGTGAAATAACACAAGTAGCAATGTTTTTACCTTCGGAATCACCCCCAACACTCCAGGCACTGCTACTTAGAGCAGACATGATGCCGTGTAAACACACACTTTTGCAAAGGTTTATGAGATCCATCTACAGAGTAGCTGCACAGAAGTTATGAATTAAATAAACAGAGAACACTCAGAGAATCTCCCACAGCAAAGAAGAAATATCCCACTTTGTTCAGGAATAAAGTGGAGAAATGCACATCAATCCCACAACAGCAGGTCAACATTTGAGCAATTAATTAATCAGTTATAAAAGGTTCCATTGTCTTTTGATCTTCTTTTGACTAGAAAGGACCAAGTCATCCCGGACCCAGGGGACTCTTGATGAAATGATGGATGCCTACCCCTCAGCAGCTTCCAGCTGGGTGCTGTCCCCACCCAGCCTCCTAAGGACAGCTTCCTTCAGCACATCATAAGTAGAGGAGCGTGAAATCCCAACTAGGTCACACAGCAGCTGTTTCTGGTTAGGAAAATAAAGAAAAAGAGTCTAAATTCCTAGTAAATTAAGAAATACATTAGCTGAGAATGTATCCTGTTACAATGCTATACTTAGAACATACCTCAAATTACTAAATTAGAAAGAAACAGTAAAAACACGTTGTAACATATACACATGTATACATGCCTATACATTCACACACCAATACATGCATGGTATTCCAGGATGACATTTCAGCAATAAGAACTCCACTGTAAACAGAGGAAATGCTAGCAAGTTTCCTCCCCTCATCACTTCTGCATTCATCCTTCCCCACTCTCCAGGAGTCAATTTTGCTTATGTTAAAGTGAAAGGGGTTTACTGCTATGATTAGTAGTACTAACTGAACTTCTTTATAGTTTTAGAAGACCTAAAAAACCTAGCAGATAATAAAATCTTTCTTTGAAAACCACAGGTATTTACAACTTGCTAAACAAGACATTTTCCATATTCCCATGGGAAAGACTGTGCTGTAGACGAGGGCGTCCACCAACTGGCTCATGTAGATCAAGCTAAATGTAGATCACTATTTGGTCTTTTGAAATAAGAGTCCCATTGAAATACAGCCACCCTCACTTATTTGTGTATTCTCTGCAGCAGAACTGAGCAATTCTATAAAACTGCATGACTGACAATCTAAACTAAATACAACATTATACTTCATGTATTTGTTTATATATCTTTTATTTTATGGAATGAAGGTAAACCAAATTTCATAACAAAATAATAAAATAGCAATAATACATTGCATGTTATCTTTAAAATAGTATCTCAGGATGCAAGTATGAGCATAAAAATTTCTCCCACCACTATCAGTTCAAACCTTTTTTAATGAGCTAAATTACACTAAGACTATAACTGACTTCTGTTTTTTATCTTTTCCCTACTGTCTTCTTTCACATATCCTACTTCCTCCTTCCTTTTGAATAATTTCTTCCCATTTCACAAAGTCTATTACACATTTTACAATTCATTTACTCTTTCAGTTTCTCACACTATGGAGACAATACAATGTTCATACATGTGAGTCAGATTTATTTCCCCTATGAATGTGGTCTCTAGTTGCATCTATTTTCCTATAAAAGTCTCAAGTTTATTCTCCTTTATGGAACGGTAGCACTTCAGTGTATAAAAAGGCCTTATTTTTTTATCCATGGGCATTTAGATGCTAAATTCTAAGATTTAGCTATGACAAATTGTGCTGCTATAAATGTGGGTGCACATATATCACTGTTGTGATGTTTATCATTTTTCTGAGATTATACCATGCAAAGAAATAGCTGGGTGGAATGGGACCTCTACTCCTAGTTTCTTGAGGAATCTCCACACTGACTTCCACACTGGTTGTACCAGTGTGCACTTCCACCAAGAGTGGACAAGCGTTCCTTTAATCCCACAACCCCTTCAGCATTTCTTATTGATTTCTTGATAGCCATTGCTTCTGGGGTGAGACAGAACCCAAGTATTATTTTAATTTGCATTTCTTGAATGACCAATGATGTTGAACATTTTTTCATATATTTATTTGCAATTTTTATTTTTTCATCTGAGAAGTGTGTACTTATCTCAGATGCCCTTTTTGTTTTGTTTTGGCCTTTGAACTTGGGTGGTCTGATTTTTTTCAGTTTTTTATATGTTGTAGAAAGAAGTTGTCTGTCTAGGGGACAATTGGCTAAAATTTTTTCCAGTCAATGGTTGTCTTTTCATTTTGTTGCTGACTAATTTGAGATACAAAAGCTTTTCAATGAGATCTCAGTTGTTAATTCTTTCAAGTGTTTACTGCACAATCTGGGTTTTATTTATGAACTCTCTGACAATTCCCATGTCTTTAAGATTTCTATCTACTTTCTCTTCCAGTAGATTTAGTGTTTCTGTTTTAATATTTAGATTGTTGATTCATTTTGAGTTTATTTGAGTACATGGTGACAGACATGGGACTAGTTTTAGTCTTCGGCATGTAGAAAGCCAGTTTTTCCAGTGCCATTTGTTGAAGAGGCTATCTTTCCTGCAATGAACATGTTTGGTCCCTTTGCAAAAATAAGGTAGCTGAGTGTGTTTGTAGTTTTGTTTGCATTTTCTAATCTGTTCTACTGATCCTGGTGTCTGTTTTTTGTTTTGTTTTTGCCAGTTATCATGCTGATTTTATCACAGTAGCTTTGAGATTTCTAGTCTGAAATTATGATGCCTCCTGCCTTGTCTTTGTTGGACTGTTATTCTAGGTCTCTTCTAGCTCCAGATGAATTTTAGGAATGTATTTTCTAGTTATATAAAGTATCTTCATGGTATTTTTATTAGGATTGTATTAAATCTGTATATAAATTTTGGGAGTTTGGCCATTTTCACTAACTGGTTCTTCTCACCCACGAAAAAGAGATATCCTCCATTTTTTGATATCCTCTTTAACCTTTTTCAGGGTAATTTTCAACGGATAAATCTTTTGTTATATTTCATTAGTCTGTCTGTCTGTCTGTCTGTCTGTCTGTCTGTCTGTCTGTCTTTTTGGGATGCTACTGGGAAGGGTATGGTTTCCCTAATTTCTCTCTTAATGAATTTGTTCTTTGTGTACAGGAATGTCATTGATTTTTAAGTGTTGACTTTGTATCCATCTATGTGCTGAATTTGGTTATGAAGTATAGAAGACTTTTGGTGGGACTTTCGGGGTCTTCTATGCAGAGTATCATGTCATCTGTGAATAATGATAATTTAACTTCCTTTCCTTCTTGTAGTCCTTTTATTTTTCTGATTGTCTAACTGCTTTGGTGAGTGTTTCCAGAATTATATTGACTAGGAGTGGTGACAGTGGATGTCCTTGTCTTGTTTCTGATTTTAGAGTGAAAGCTTTTAGTTTTTGTCTATTTAGTATGATGCTGGCTGTTAGTTTCTCATAGATGGCTTTTATCAGTTTGAGGTAAAGATAATCTACTTCAATTTTTGTAAGGTTTTTATCATGAATAAGTGTTGGACTTTGTCAAAAAATGTTTTTCTGCATCTGTTAAGATGATCATATCATTTTTGTCTTTGGTCCCTTCACATAGTGTATTACACTTACTGATTTGTGTATGTTGAAATATCCCTTCATTCATGGGGAGAATCCCCCTTGGCCATTGGGTATAATCTTCTTAATGATTTGCTACATTCTGTTTGTTAGTATCTAGTTATGGATTTTTGCATCTATATTCATTAGGGAGATTGGCTTATAGTACTCTTGTACTTGGGTCTTTCTTTGGTTTTGGTTTCAGGGCAACACCTACCTCTAGCAATGAGTTAGAGAGTATTACTTTCCTTTCAACTTCATAAAGAATTTGAAGAACATTGATATTAAATCCTCTCTAAATTTCTTGAAGAATTCAGCAGTAAATCCATTAAAACTTGGACTTTTCTTTGTTGATAAGTACTTAATTATATTTTCAATTTCATTGACTAACTTGAGTTATTCCAAATTTTTATATCATTTTGTTTCAGCTTTTCAATTTATATGTGTCTAGGAATTTATGTTTCTTCTGTGTTTTCCATCCTATGAGAGTAAAAAGTTTCATAGTAATTACTGATGATCTCTGAATTTCTGCACGATCTTTAGTGATTTCACCCTTTTAATTCTTCATTGCGTGAATTAGTTTTTTTTTGGCTAACAGGTTAGCAAATTCACTATTTAGCAAATTCATTATTTTAAAGAACTCTTCGATTCATTAATTCTTTTTATTGTTTACATAAGCATCCTTTGCATTAATTTCTGCATCTAATGTCTACATTTTCCTTCCTTCTTTGGGCTTGACTTGCTCTACTTCTTCTAGAACCCTAGGTGCAGCATTAGGTCCTTTACTTGTGTTCATTCTGTTTTCCTGATGTGAGAATTCACTGCTATAAATTTCCCTCTTAGGACTGTTTTCACAGGTTCTAGTAAACTGTATCTGCATTTTCATTTAATTATAGATAGTGCTTAATTTATTCTTTAATTTCATCTTTAACCCATTGTTTGCTCAGGAGTATGTTAATTTCCACATGTTTATAGAGGTTTTGGGTTGCTTTTCCCATAATTTCCAATTTCATTGCACTATGGTCAGATAACATACACAGAATAATTTGAATTATTTTTCATTTACTTAAGCATGTTCTATGGGCTACCATATGGTCTATTTTAGAGAACATCCCATTTGCAGCTGAGAAGTATGTGTGTTCTGATGTTCTTAGGTGGAACACTCTGTAAAGATCTACAAAGTCCATTTGATCACAGGTTTGGTTCAGTTGATATTTCTTTATTAATTATTTGTCTATTTGAACTACCTGTAACAGTGGGATATTACAGTCCCCATTACAACTGTGTTATTGCTTATTTGATTTTTCATATCTATTGTTATATGCCTTATATAATTGGGTGCTCCCATATTTGTAACATACATATTTATGATTGTTATCTCTTTTTATCAAAGTTTTCCCCTAACAAGTATGTAGTGACACTTTATTGTATCTTTTTATCATTCTTGGTTTGAAGTTCATGTTGTCTACAAGTAAAATAACTAAGCTTGCATTGATTATTGTTTTTCATCCTTTGACTTTCAGTCTAGGATTTTTTTTTTACTTAAATGTGTTTCTTGTATATGGCATTGCTGTATCTTGTTTCTTGATCTTTATTCTGTATTTCTGTTTCTTTTGTGGTTAACTGCGGTCATCTACATTGATGATTATAACTGATAGATATTGACTTATTTTGTCATGCTATTTTTCTGGTATTGCTTTTCTCTGTTGCCCTCAACTTAACTGCTTACCCTGCTTCGTGGTTCCCTTGTGTTGGTGTTCTTGAAACTGTTATTTTTCATCAGTCTAGAATATCTCTGAGTACCATTTTTCAGTGCTGGTTTGGTGGCCATGAATTTCTTCAGTTTTTTTTTGTCATGAAGTGTCTTGTTTCTCCATTAATTTTGAAAGACAGTTTCACAGGTACATCAATCTGGGTTGGAAGCTATTTTCTTTCAGGACTTGATTTTATTTATTTATTTGGGGGGGGGCAGCTCAGCCCACCAGGGGGCGGGGCTGGCTGGCATGTGGTGCTGGGGATTGAACCGAGGTCCTTGTGCTTTGTTAAGCTTGTCTAAGTAGGTGCTTTAGACCACTGAGCCATCTCACCAGCCCCTCAGGACTTGATATACTTCACTCCAAGATCTTCTTGAATTGAGGGTTTGTGTTGAGAACTCTGCTGTGATACTCATTGGCTTTGCTTTATGGGTAATCTGTTTCTCGCCAGCTTTATCATTAGTATCAAGGCCTTTGTAAACAAGGTTTGATCTTCAAAGATGTCATCTGTGTGTAGGAAGTTCTTAGCTTGTGTCTGTTCCAAGCTCCTGCCTTTACAATTAATATGGAGTGAGATGTTGCTATCTGCTTGGCTTAGTCCCCAGTTCTTTGGGGCTGGAGTATGGGGAGATTATTATCCCAGAGCTTCCAAGTATTGTTATAGAAGTGAGACTATGACATCCTAGCTAAGTAGTATAATTAACAATAACAACAGCATCAAGCATAGTTTAGAAACTGACAAACTATCATAACTACTAATTTTGTACCTTTAACCATAGAAACAAAATCTATAGTTATATAACAGAACCAACTAGAGGCTATAGCTCAGTTACACAACACCTTTCTGGCAAGGGCAAGGTCCTGAATTTAATTTCCAGGACAGACAGACAGACAGACAGAGAAAAAAGCCGGATAATGGCTAGAACAGAGATAACTGAAAACAAATAAAGTAGAAGCAAGGTGGATGACAAAAGATGATCATATGAACTTTGGGAAAGTAGAAAGGCAGGTAGAAGAGAAAGAACAAGGGATTATTAAAGTTGACCAGAAAAACTACACAGACTTTTCACTAATATAAAAATATGATCGGGGCCTACAAGATAGTTCAGCAGAGTAAATCACCTGCTTAGGCAAGCTTAGGCAAGCACAAGGACCACTTCCATCCCTGGCACCACATGCCATGCCATCCCCATCCCCAGGCAGGCTGAGGTGGCCAGAGTTCAGGCCGTAGTGGTGGATGCCTGAAAACCCAGCACTGGGGAGGCTGAAAACAGGAGGACCATTATGAGTCTGAGATGCATAGTGAGACTCTGTAAAGACCAAATACATTTTTAAAAAAATTTAAAAAATAATATGTGATTAAATCTAGAGAGGTAAATTGAGGAATGAAAGGAACGATGATAGATTCGAACAAAAATATAGGTAAGAGACAGAATACAAAAAGGAAAAGAAATAGGAAACAAACCAGCAAAAAAGAATAAAGTAATAAAATAACCCAAAATTCCATGTGTCCATTGAGAGTCTGAAACTACTGGATAATACTTCCAAGCCTACAGTACAGTTTGCGCTGGATTTGAAGCTACCTTAGCCTCCAGAGGGGGGGAGGGCCTGGGGCTGAAGTCTTCAACCAGTGCTTTCTTTAGCTCCCTTAGTGGCCTCTCATTCCTTCCCATTTCTCTTGACAGCATCTCTGTTCCAGTTCCCATGTTGCTTTCAGTCCCATTTCTTCCCCTGTTTCTCTTGGCAGCATCTGCATCCCAGTTCCTGCGCTGTTTTCAGTTAGTGACAAGAACTGCTTCCAGTGCCCCACCGTGCTGGCCCCTCCTTGTCCCTGCTCAGCCTTCTGTGCTCCTCTTCCACTGCTGTGTGGCTGTGCTCTCAGGCCGTGGGCTGCAGGGTGCAGTGGGATGCTGTGATGCATCTGGCCCTCCGCTCCTGCTGTTTCAGTCCAAGGCTGCTCAGTCCCAGTTCTTATACTGCTCCCAAGGTGAGGTGACAACTTCACACTCATTGCCTTCCAAGTTCTGCTGCCACCTTTGCCAGCCTCTGCTGTAGTCTATAATTCCTTTGGGTTAGAGGAGGGGATACTTGAGGTGCCTTTTGGCCCCTGTTTCAGAAGCATGCAGATGGCCCAGGACTGCACAATCCCAAGCTGCAGGGCCACTTAATTCCCCACACCTCTCTAACGACATGTCATGCAGGATGGGTTAACCATTCCATTTACTATGTACCACTTTCAGTTTTAATCTTATTCCTGGCAGTCCCAGTTAGCACTCTGGTTCCCAAAAGGAATGGGAAGAAAAGGAAAGTAAGAGAAACAAAAGAGAATGAATGGAAGCAATTCTGTGTTGGCAGAATCTACCACTGGCCTGGAGCATCCTCTATGGGGAGGAAGGCAGAAGAGGTAGGGAGCTTATCTCCCAAGTCTCCTGTATGGCTAGACTTAGCTGCACTGTTTTAGTACATCCTTTTTTCCTTCTTTCTCAGTTTCCGAGTATGGCGAGCAGTCATCCTGATACGGTAACCCCTTGGAAGCTGCTGGCTGGCCATTTCATTAAGTTCTTTGTCTATGTTTTGCTTTATCTCTTAGGCAGATTGATTTTAGTTTTAGTTCAGGGTGTATGCCTCTTCCTTTTCTTCCAATTACCTGTGCTTTTGTTGAATGTCTCTGAGTAACTCTGTGTGAGTCTCTTTTTCTAATCAGCCATGTTGTATACTATTATTCTTCATTTTTAAAAAGTTTGCCAACCGCTTTTCTGTATGACAACTAACAATATCTTGGGGTCACCACTAAGAACACCTTCACCAAACTTTTCAACCTGCTGCCTAAACCCCACATTCTCTGTATAGATATTTACTCATTCCTATCCAAGTAAATTTATGTTAGGTAAAACTTAAACTGGAAGGACTCAAAGACCCACAAAAATCTGAATTTAAAATATTGGTTTAATTTCCTTTTCTCCTTATGACACATATTTTTGGATTTTGTCAAAATAGAGGCACACTGGTTTAAGCTGAATAACCAACTGATAACAAGTTAACTCCTGACCATTAGCAAAAGTTCTCCTTTACTTCAGTTCTGAGTCACCAAAGTTCTTCTAACCTCAAACTCTATGACTTGGGATTAATATGGATAAAGTCAGATTCACTACCTGAAGTCCAATTATTTATGCTTATGTATATGCAAATACATATGCACAGTTCAATGAGAGGACTGACCTGCAGGATTAGGCATTCAGCTCTGTGATATGCTAGCATTGCTCCTGGATTATCAGCTCCAGAGTGCCCAAGTATCTCCT